GAGGTGGCCATGTGTAAAAGGACGAGAATCACGCACGCTGCACGCAAAGGCAGCCACAAAATAATTTATATTTTCTATGAAGATAACTTTTTTTTTTGTTTGTATCAGACCTTAATTGCTTATGCAGCTATCTTGCTATGTCACAATATCAAAGAAAAGTACAGAATAGATGATTCAACGTAAAGGAAGAGCACTAATGCCTCAGATTTCATTTGCAAGTACCACTGCGAAGTTATCGTGGCTTTTTCTTCACCCTGAGGATCCAAGATTGACAGACCTCTGGATTAGTACGAGGCTCTAATAAATTGTAATGCTTATGTAATGTTGTTCATGTTGGAGTCCGGGCGCAAGATTAGGAATACTGTACTTATATAGACGATACCCTGTATTAATAGAAAACCAAGTTACATCTAGTCTTAAGCTCTACTATACATATTAGTAGATTGGAGCCACGAGACACCCGTAACCTACGCCATCTTAAAGCTAAGCTTATCTCACTTTTAACACATACTAATCCATCAGGAACCTCAACCCCATGTCAACCCTCATCCGTGAATACCCACCCAGGGGAACATCTCAAAAACCCCGACTTATGCAGACATGCCTCCATCATCTTTCAACTTTATGAAGTGAACACTGCAGTGGGACAGTGCTAATGTAAGGTGAGTGCTGATGACCATCTTATATAAGCACTTACTAAGCGTCTAACCTGCTGCAATAGACAGACCCATTTGCCACATCCCATTTACAAGCAAGGCTGGGCCCGTAAGTCAGCCCAGCCAACTAACACCGGGTAAAACCCGTAACACCATGAGCCAGCCTCAGTGGAGGACTGAGGAGGCACGGCTGGTCGTGGTAGTAGGTTCAAAGGTAACTCAGCGTGTTTAGAATGGGTTTGATTTACTGTGTGGATAAAATTTGAAATAGATGTGGAAGAGTCGTAGGTTTTTGGTTTGTTTTGTTCATTTACGTGCTAGGTAAAGTGATTCCCGTTGCACTCTTACTGGAGCTTGAGCACGGGTGGGGCCGGCCCGGATCAGGTTAACTACCATAAAGTACAAGTGCCTCGTCCCACCTAAATGACCGGACCACCTTAGATTTCACCCATATGTTGAATCACGTCAAGCCCAACCGCCCAGAGAACCTCCTTTTGGCGCGCCGAAGCGCAATTTCCTCCTCAGCCTCGGCCACCACGCGCCCGAGCCCTTGACACCTTCACGATCTGTAACTTTCCCCTTCGCTTTATTCCCAGCTTTTGCTCATCTCAGCATCTCCTCATCTCATACCGGGGTTGTTTTCTTCACTGGAGGCCTCATCCAGTCGCCCACCAAGGCCTCTTCAGTTTGTATTCCCTTTTGATTGCTTCATGCAGCATCCCTCTGTCCTTCAGCCGATCTCGTCATCCCAGAAACTTTGTAGAATGTCCATCCCTCCGGCCTTGTCCCGTCGCTGCCGTACCCCTAACCGTGGAGGTCGAAAACGCGACTGAGAGCTCAAGACCGAGGCACCGGTGCCCCAGCCTTTGTCGAATGCTTTAGTTGGTGTGCCGGCGAAATGTCGTACGTATTTCGTCGGTGGCGATTCGTCGCAGGTCGAGTTTTTGGTGCCTTTGGCCGAGGTGAGGACGCATTTAAGGCCGGTATTTCGACCGTATATTCACAGCGACTGGCATTTGCAGAGGGTCGGACATCCTCTTGTTTCTTAATTAGCGATTTGGCTTTTGGAGGTATGGGATTGTTTCGGTAGGTGGTGAGATGATTGTTGAGAGGGCCACGAGATGAGTTTGGCTAGGAGTGATTTTCCAGAGAAATAGAAAATAAGATCTTGAAAGTGTCGGTTGTTGTAACACGAACATCAGACAGGTTATAGGCTGTCTGCGGTTCGAATCTGGGGTGTAGATGGTTGATTTCGTTGAATTGTGCAGTCGTGAAATCTCTGAAAGTTGGATTTTCGACTAAAGATGAGCCAACACCACTCCTCCCGATCGCCAACTCGACGAAAACTCTCAAATTCACTCTCTGTCGTGACAGAATCTCGGCTCAGGGATAATATTTCGCTCCCAGGTTCGTAGAGGGCACCACTCACAGGTGTTCAGCCTTCGCCCTCCGATGAGTCGTAGGTGGTGGAAAGTAATGTCAAATTTGTTAGCTGGGCGACAAGTGCTTTAGGGGAATCCCTGTAGATCTCATCCTTCAAGTGCATTCACATTGAGTGTGGGTCACCAAGCTATACAATTTCTTCCAAAAATTCGGATGATACTAACGATAAGAGGATTGAAATTTCTTGGTGAGGGAGAGTCTAGATAGCTGTACTTTCATTTACTTCAGCATCCTTTGCTGGCATGATTATTTCCACAAAAATTTTGAAGAGATTCATACCTCGCCAAAAATAGCACATTGTTGGTGACCAAATATTATAACTTTCTTGACCAGTTAATGGTCTAATGATTCCAAATTACTTGATACCCAGTGGCTTATCATCTGGAACTAAGGATGTAATGAAATCTGGAGAAATTTTTTATCACTCATAGAGGCTATTGTGGTAGGAGGGAAATCTGAGTCGAATTTAAAGAGGATAGGATTTGTATGTTAAGAATTCCAATTCTAATTAATTGTCGAGTATTATCCGTTCAGGGCACCGGGCTCACTATCTATTAAAGTTCTAGAGGTTTATCTGGAATGATGGAAGTGAACGTTGACCATCAAGTCAATACTGTATGAATTGTAAGATATTGGAGATTTCAAGTTCTATAAACTAAACCCCCACTGATCCTAATCTTTGATCACTTATCCTGAAATCTCCGATATTTTACGATCCACGAAGTATTGGCTTGACAGTCAACGTTCATTTCTGTCATTCTAGATACTTCCAGAACTGCAAAAATAGGTGGCTTCATTCATGCGTCGTCAAACGCGACGATGGCAAGTTCTTATACTTGGGGCAGGAAACAAGGTAATTGTGGCGTGGAACTGAAAACTATAGGGGATTTCTTACGAAGTTGAGGGGTAGCCTTGTTAGTTTAAAGCAGTGATGCTGGTGTTACTGTCCAGGAGGTTAACCCCGTCATTGATGCATTGAAGTCGCATTAGTCAAAGTGGCAGAATATCTCGCGCAAAGACATTCACATGTAAGAGAGAATGCTGGCTCTAGAGGATGCCGTTATGAGGGAATTCCAAGGCTTGAGTCGCCGACCTGCTGCTCAGGAACAGGCACTTTTATGCCGCCATAGCCGTTCTGTCGGTCGCTAGGCCTGTTGTTCGCGTCAGGGTAGAAAAAGCGGAATGAATGCAACCAGGTTTACTCCAATCCATGACACAATGTATATCGTTGGCGCCTATGCTGTCAGTCAGATGAGGAGCCATAACACAAAGTATTTGTACACATAGCTTCACAGCGACATACGGCTTTCCACATGCCACAGCGAGCGAGGTTCAAAGAACTCCATCAAGTTTTTCTCAGGTAATTTCTGGCGCTCAGTTGAGAACGAGTGTGTAAGGGGTCGTGAAGCGGATAATAGCACCCTCAGTCTTGCCGTAATCAAGGTCTCCAGGGTGAGTATCCCAGAGCCTGGGATGAACATGATTAGACGGCTTCACAATGTAAAAATACCCACTCTGGTTAAGAGTAATGGTTGCGCTCGGGGTACATTGGTCGGGAGTCTTCCTTCAGGTGCTATTCAAAGAGAGGTTGTTAAAAATGGTATCGTCATGAATTTAGTCATCTACGCTGCTCAATCCTGCTTATTACAGATGCAAATTAACCAGTGTTACAATTTTAGTCTATGGTGTCAAACCTAGACATCTTGCGGAAAGGCAGCAATGTGAGGAGATTGTGCTAGAGCCATCAATGAAGGGATTGCCAAAAGAAGAAAATGTCTTGATGCAACTAAGGCAAAATTTAAAAGCCTAGCCAAAGAAGAGTATACCAAGCCATTAAGATTTACAAATCTGGCGTGGAAAGAGCAATGGAAGCGTGTTTTTTGCGGACGTAGGAGACTCAGGGGGACAATGAAGTGTGTGATGTAGCAACGCCGATGGTCACCGATGAGAACCAAGGCTTCAATGTAGTTGTTAACAGGAAGAGGCAAAGAGCGAAGGCTTCCGGTACAGGCTATGAGCTGAGAAGGGGAACGCGACGTTCGAGAAAAGAACAACGTCATAACAACCACATCATTTTATACCTGGCCGAGCTCAGCTTAAGCCACCCAACGTCTAATACTAGCCTTCAAGCTTGACTAACGCCGACTTTTATGTTAGTAGTAAAGATTCCAGCTAAGTTTTCAGTGGCAGTCCGATGTCCCCCAGGATCATTATGTACAAGCTCAGTAACCCGTGTACCGCTTCTCGGACGATCATAAAACCAACTTTTGTTACATTTGAGAATAATCTTTGTAATTGAAAAGCAATCTAATCAAGTTTTCATAACGTGAACTTGGATGTGGACACTCTTTTTCGTTCCCATATACTAAAAATTATAGGAACTTGAATGCAATTAATGATAAAGAGAAGTAGCTCTTTTACCTCTGGTATAGTAACCTTCGAGAAGGTCCGGATCTTGTCATGAAGTGTCAAAGTTGATTTCATAGATATTGTAGGCTGATATAAAACAGGCAAAATTACTACTTCAATGTATTTAAAACGAGTGCTAAGATAAACAAGCTCGGTAAAATAAAGAAAAACGTTGTAGACCTTATTATCGAATGGTATTTCCAACTGAGGTCGGATTGGGTGGAAGTTAGACATTATTTCGGGACGTATCTTACTTTCAACAATGTGTAGCATTAACCTAGTGAATAGTTCATTTTTCCAAAGGCGACTCTACTGTTTTGAAGTGACTTGTTTTCGGACCAGATTTATTATTTGGTAGGGTTTTGCTTGTTGTTGGATTCAGCATACCGTTTGTTACCTCTACAAAATTGCTTTTATCTAAGTATTTTATACACGACGGAGATGTCCCTGTCTCATTTGCGCGTATCCTTCATGAATGTGGTGGTACAAGATCTAATGTTTCGATTTTTCGTCATCTTCGGGCTCTTCCTCTAGCCAATCTTCCTCCTGAAGAGAAGATCCAACCTCAGCCTGTCCCTCGACCTCCACACTGGATGACTCTGTTCCGAGTTAGTCTAGTATATTAAATGCAGGGAGATTCGATGTACCGTATGCTTTTAATTCACTCGCGATGTCATCTAGTTCTGGAGATGTTGGCGCCACTGGGGGAGAAAACTTCTGCACATGACCCTCCGAGTCATTAGCCTTAATCGGTGAGATCTTGCATCCTTTTAGTTCGCGGATATAAAGTTCTTGAACAAAATCAACTTTAGAATAATTTGTTAGCTTGCATTTCGCAACTAAAAGTCAAACACTTGATGAAGAATTCTTTGAATTAGGAGACAATAAATCTAGCTATGTAAAAGATTCAAGAAGTGACCAAATGATACAAACCTTGACGAGGAATTGTTGATGAGATAAAAGAGCGCTTTGCTATTACTGGTGTTGATTGTTTCGCTATGTAATGGGCGATACGAGAGCGCTGTATCCTTTAGCTAAGATTACAAACTGATTCGTAAATGAGATACTACCGAAATTCTTAGAGTAGGGTTGATCATGTTGACGAGATATGTAAGCCACAACGGGAGCCTCGACCTGTGCTATGAGTCGATGTTATGGGAGACTGCTACATCGAAGCGGTATTGGCCTTCACGCGCGTCACATGATAGCACTGCTTTATAGGGCGGCCGCTCTCGAGCCCTCATCAGCACCCACGATTAGTCTAAATGAAGAAAATCACAGGGGCATGTAGATTTATTGGCACGAGATTTCTAGAATGAGAAACTTCAACCTTTCCGATAGAAATTACACGAAGCAACAAATCGATCAATACCTTAAACTTTAAAATTAATGTACCAGTTCAAAGTATCATTGAATCAGCTTGTAATAAGATCAAGCTGCCCTAACAAAGGAGGCATGATATTCAGCCAAACCACAGGCGAGCAAATAAAGCCCATCAACTAGGAATTTGCTGGGAGAATCTTTCCAACTTATTGCAGAAAGAGGCGGGAAAGGTCGCATCCTATCAAGCATGGGCAAAATTTTGATCAAACCAAAGGCTGATTCAATAGCCTCAAAAACTGGAGAACCGACATATTTTATCGCAGCCAAAGTTCTGGACACCTAAAATGCATCCTTAAGAAACGTCATTTTCACTACACCAAAACATATCATGGCCCCAAAGTAGTCAAGCAATTCAAATTCGAAGCGAGAATGTTGGCCATAACTCGTAATTATATATGATAAAACCACCAGCAGTCCATAGATCAAGCTATCAATGTGACTAACCATCACATTACTTCAAGCATACGATCATATCTTGCCCTAGATGATTGAATGCGCGAGGACAAAAGGAACATCAGACTAAGCGGCAAAATTTAATTATTCGAATCTTATACCGTATTTTATCTCCTATCAATACTAGACAGCTTCATCGAAAGCCCGTTGGTACTTGATCATTATTACACTAGTGATAGTCAAGTCACAATAACTTCCCCCTTTGGCCCAACGCCTCGCGGAAGAGCTTGTACTCGTACAGCGTGTGGCAAAGGGCCAAGCCGCTTGGACTTAGAAATTTCATGCCAAGCTTTGAACAAATTTTGAAGAATCTGATCCTCCCACCAAATATTTCGCATGTGAGAATTTGGATGCGTTTCTCCTTGCGATTACTCCTGGAAATTTTATACAACACGACACTTCAAGACAGCCTGAATCATCCGGCCTATTAACCAAACCTAGCAAAAGTATTCCCTAACGCCATCTCGTTCTCATAAAGAGCCAAACCTTAACATAGGCTACGACTGCAGTAGGCTCGTCCGCCTATTTGCCCCTGGATCCGACTCGACTCAGTGGTAACAACCGACCCCCTCGCACTACTCCTTCAAAATAAATAGTAAAGCCCAAGAGACCAAAATCTATCCTTCGCCTATTCGAAGAAGCTCCTCCCCTTTGAGCAGATGAAACATGAGCAAAACCAGCCCTGATACATATGGTTCCCGATTTCAAGGATGGTGTCGCCTCAATTACCCGCTGCTACAGGCTGTAGCCTTGTATGTGAATCTAGCACTATTTGGGCCCGGCTATAAACAAAAGTGCGCTAGTAGCACGGGAAAATGCGCTCAATGGGGAGAAAATATCTTGCGCGCGCGTCGTAGTTTTTCTCCTAAGATAAAACATAAATTCAATTTTGGACCCATAATTGTGAACAGCAAATATTTAGTCCCTTCACATATATTTTATCTCACCTCTTACACTACCAGTGAATGTCTCCATACCTCTACTGGCTTTTATAATTTTATATGTTTCAGAGAAAATTTAGTCTCTTCCTCCTCAGAGTCATCGCAATTATCCGAACTTCATTAGAGTCACGAATTTGTCAATCGTTATCATCTTACAACGCTCATCTAACAAACACCACGCCAGAAAATTATGCTGGAGACGATGTACAGCAGACAACAACACCTCTTACAGTTACTTAATAGCAATTAAACTATATCCTAAGTCTCATAACTTTTCATGATACACCAAGGCCCCATGTATCAAGACTCCCATCCCAAGAAGCAAAGAAGCAGCTGTCAAGGTGGCCCGAATGGAATGTGGCCACGGAAACTTATTGTGTATATATTGACCAGCTGATAGCGAAAGTTGAGAGTGACTGGGAAATATTGGGGGGGCATAAGGCTTTTTGTAACGAAATAATGAATACGCTCCCTACTGATCGCAAGCTTCGAGTTTTTCACTGGTTTTCATGCGGAGGACCCAATTTGGATTGGGACTACAAGATTTTTATCCAGCACTTCAATGATTCATTCGAGGATAAAACATCAGCTTGAACAGCTGGATCAATCCTCTCAAAGATGAAGCAAGGCAATCATCAACTTTCTGTAAACTTCCTCAATGACTTAGAATAAACTCTAGCCCTAAAAGAGGATTGATCTGGGAGGGAAAAGTCAAGATAAATTTTCTCAACATGGGACTGAACGAAAGGCTAACGAAAGCTCTTTTTCCAAGGACGTTGCGGAGGATAATTATGCCTTATTCGTGAAATAAGTGTAGGAAACTCAGGAAAACATTATTTTTGCCAGAAAGCTGCACACCCTTCCACGCTGCCCGTATCATCAATTTGACATCTTCATTATAATTTTTTCATCTTTATTACCATCCTTCCATCTTTTCGCTTTCCGCGCTCCAACATGTCGAGTATGGGTGCTAGTGTGGGTAAATACAGCGGTTTCGACGCGTCGCAAAATGCGACAATGGCCTCAACAAATAACGCCAGCGGAACGCAGACAATTCCAAAGGATAGAAACCTCGAAATCATGGGGAAACTACTAAAACAGGTTAGACTAATTGTCATGGGGGAGATGGATGAGGAGGACCTACCATCGATGGTGGATGTTAACGAAGCTGTGAAGGCTTTCAATGCTTGCAATGCTTGCAAACGGGCCTAGACTGAAATGACCTAGAAGACGTCTCCAATCGAAGAGAGGATGATGGCGCTAGAGGAAGTCGTAAAGAAAAGCCTCGAAGATCCTGCTCGAAGAGCTACTCCATCAGTGGTTTCGGGCGCGCCGCTACTAAGGAGTTACGCGTCGGTCGTGGCCCCGCAAATGACAAAAATTGCGGTGCGGATAATAATCGATGGCGCCCAAAACTTGCAGCCACAAGAGCTGCCATCTAAGGCTCAACAGCACATCCAAGGCGCATACGCGATTAGCCAAATGCGAAGCACCGACACTGAGGTGTTTGTCCAGTCGGTGTCCCAGAGAGACGCGGCACTCAACATGCGCCAACCCAACGAATTTAAGATTCTACGGCAAGATTTTCTCGTTGAGGTTTCTGGTTTCTCTTTGCGGTCTCGAATCGAGGGTGACAGAGATGCTCAAAACCACGCTATCATCAGGGAGATTGAGATAGCAACTAAGTGTGATGGGAAACGCGATTAATATTGCGGTCACGTGGAAGAGTTTAAGCGCGTGCGCGATTGTATTTAATATCCCTGGTCCTTTCCTAGATTCCTTTCTTCTGTGTAGACAATCTTATTCACCAGATTAGACCTCGTCAATCTTCCTCTTATTCATCCCTTGACATATTGTTTACCGTAGCACAATTTTTTTACTGCCATCGCGCGTAAATATTACCTACAGTTCCAGTTGAAGTCGCAGTTTTGATATAAGCGTTACTAAAATGGATAACAACCCTTGGAATCTCGACAGTGGTAATACCACTCTATATCAACCTTAGTATCACCAAAGCAGTGCTCCCACACATACTGTATTTAGCGATCAGGACGCCGCATTCGCCCAAAAATATCCTCTCCTCTGTTCAGTCCCTAATAACCAACTTTATACCACTGCCATGCAAGGCGGAAATCAAGCCATTAATATCTCAGGACTCAGCGACGAAATTATGATGCTGGCGAGATCTTACATACAAGTAGAGAGAGAGTTATACCAGTATAAAAACGAGTATGAGATATTGTTATAGAGGAACCAGGAAATTGAAGATAAAATTGCTAAGCACTAAAAGAAAAATCACTCGGCCTCTACTACTAACTCCTCTCTACAACAACAAAACCTCAGTCTTCAACAGCAGGTCCAAAGCCTAGAACAATAGCTTGCCACAAATTCTCAGATGCAACAACAAAATGTCAGTCTTCAAAAACGTATTCAAGACCTTGAACAGACAGCCAACTCTTCTTCCAAAAGCGTATCACACAGCCATCACAGGTCCGCAGAACATCCCGACCCAGACGTATTTTCTGCTGATCACCCTGAATTACGCAAAGATCTTCACCTTTTTATACGAAAAATTAATATGAAGTTTATAGCAAATGAAGACCGGTACCCCTAGGCGCAAAGCAAGATGATCTATCTTATCTCTCGCCCCAAATGTAAAGCTTACTCTTCTATAGCCTATGGTATCAACAGGGACGGAACTGTAAAATTCGTCTCCAGTGATGCTATACTAGTTCTCCTGGAGCAGGCGTTTGTAGATGTCGATAAATATAACTCGGCTCGTCGTAAAATTCTTACCCTAAAGTAAGGCCAAAAGGACACCTCAACTCATATTTCTGAATGGATCGAGGTAGCCCAGAAGACCAAACTCTCCGATAATGCCTTGATCAACCACCTCTACGATTCCCTTCACCCGGCAATCACTGGCCATATCCAAAATCGGATGATGTTTCGACAAGCCTTACCTACAGATTTGATATTCTATCTAGTGGAAGTACGTCATATCGATGCTGTCCTTCTGTTGGAATAGCATCTTTAGCTTGGTTTACTTGGAGTTGGTGGTTCTTGGTTTACAAGCAAACAATTTCCTTCGTTGTGGATTTCGGTATTCGGATAATACTTTATCTGAACGCAACATAGTCAATATCTTGTAGCATCATTGTAAACTAGATAACGAATGAACTATGAATGCGCATTTCTTGTGAACGATAGTTCGAAATACTTACACAAGTACTCTCATAACTTTAAGTGAACTAATAGACTTTTAGTGTATGACCTTTGTCATACCAACACCTTCGATCTACTAATCCGACATACACGAA